GAGGGAAAGAGAGAGAGAAGCAGAGGGAGAAGCAGGCTCCCAAGGAGCAGGGAGCCCGATGCGGGACTCGATCCCAGGACCCTGGGATCATGACCTGAGCCGAAGGCAGACGCCATCTGAGCCACCCAGGCGCCCTAAAATATTTTTTTAAAAAAAAGAAGTAAAGAAGTCCAGTTTGCATGGTTAAACCCAAGCCCTTTGATATCGGAAATCTTTTACTTCCTGTCTATTATTCTGGAAAGTGCTTCCATAGCACTGTGTACAGACTTCCATTAACACTTATCACACTGCATGTCTGGGTCTGTCTCCTGGAGAGACTGTGAAATCCCTGCGGGCTGGGACTGTCTCCGATTCATCTGGGTCCCCGGTGCCTAGCAGAGAGTCTGGCACATGGAGACAGTAATAAATATTTGTTCAATGCAGGGATTTCCTGTCTGGGACTAAGATGGGGACATGAAGTCAGGTTCTTGGCAGCACCTGGGAGGAGGTGACAGTGGTGACAAGAGCAGGGTGACACAGATATGCTTGCAGACTGTGGGGTTCTAGGCCTTCCAGGGATATGATTCATCCTGAGGGATCGGGGACAGAGATGAGGGTGTCCAGCATCTCTGGGGATTCAAGCACCCGAAGTGGCCTCCGTGGCCGCAGTGGTCTGAGAGAACCCAAGGCAGGGCGGGACCTCATCAGCTTGGGAGGAGCCCGGCTGTCCTGCATGTGGCAGGCACAATGTGGGTCGCACTGGGCCAGCATAGCATACACCATCTTTGGAGAGCCTGGCTTCCCTGACTCAGCCACTGCCCTGTCGTTCCCTGGACCTTGGGGCACTGAGGGATGGTTCTGTGAGGAACGAGGTTAAGCCAGTGATTTCATTCCCTTTCCTGAGAGGGAAAAATCTCCATGACGGCCCTTGAGGAAGGTCTTTGTGGACTAGACAGTAACTTGCAAAACACCAGACCCTGGGGACAGATCTGGCCAGCATGCATGGAGGAACCAAGAAGGCCCTGCATGGAGGAACCAAGAAGGCCTTGCAAGCCAAGCTTGCCAAGCGAAGCAAGTGGAGTCACTGGAGAGCCTCAGAAAGGTCTGAAGTGGGAGGAGCCTTGTGGAAGCCCACTCTAGAGCAGTGAGGGTGAGTGGAAGGGAAGGAGCCAGACCAGGAGTGGGCTGGAGACGTGCCTGGGAGTGGAAGCAGAGCATCTGGTGATTGACGAGGAGGGCCCCAGATGACTGAGTGGAGCGAGGAAGTTTGTGGGTGGGGAGAAGTTGGCTCAGTTTGGGACTTGGGAAGTTTAAGGTGCGCTGAGGCATCGGGTGGAGCTGTCCAGTAGGTAGCTGACTATGCAGGGGGGGCGGGGGCAGAGGCCCTGCTGGAGACTGAGGTTGGGGAGTCTCAAGGACGGGAGAGGACTGAAGTCACAAAGTGGAGGAGATCGCAGGAGGAGTGTGGAGAGAAGCGGCCCCAGGACAGCCCAGGGGAGCGTCAAGGGAACTGCTTGCCCTGAGAGCTGAATGCTGACTGCTAGGGGCTGTCTAGAGGAGTCTAAGCAACAGGCAGCACCAGCCTCTCACCCACAGGTCCCGTCCCACACCTGTGTTCTCACTTGCACAGCTCTGCACTCCAAGCGGGGAGCACACCCCGCAGCCCCTTTTTGCTCTCCCCCCCCACGGCCCCGCCCCTCCCTGCAGACCCTGAGGTTAATCCTCCCCTCCCCCAGATTAGGGGCGCTGCCCCGCTTTGTGCGCGCAAGTGCCGGAGGCGAAAGCCCTGGGAGGCTCGCGGCCGTCCGGGCAGCTGAGGTGGGGAGGGCGGAGTGGGGCGCGGGGAGGAGACACAAAGAGGGGGAGGGACCCCGGCTGCAGCTGTCCCGCGAGGGGGCCGGGACAAAGGGCCTGCTGGCGGGCCGGCCCGAGCCGTTTTCATGCTTGTTGGGATTAGGCGCAGGAAACGTCGCTCCCAGTCGTGCGGATCAGCAGTCCCCGGCACGCCGGCGCGTGGGGCGGGCTCGGCCCCGCCCGCCCCCCGCTTTGTGCGGAGCCGGGGATCCCGGTGGCGCCGGGCGCCGGGCTCCGGGGAGGCCGCCGCTTTGTCTGCGTCTTTCGGGGGACGAGCCCCGCCCGGGCCCGCTGAACACCAGCTGAAGGCGGGCCTCCAGCCCTCTCCTTCTTCCCCAGCGCGGAGCACTGGAGCTCCACCTTGACCCCTCCGCCATGGGGCAAGGTCACGGCCCCTCCCCCGCCCACGCCCGAGGCCCTCGGACTGCTCCCACCCCACGGCCGGAGCCTTCTCTCCTCCCGGGTGGGGGCGGGTAGAAGCCTCTGGGGACCTAGCCCCTACCCGGGCCCTGACCTTAGTAGGACGAACTCCCCTTTCTCGCGCTACCTCCCCCTTTCCGCCCGCCAGTCCCATAACCAGATGAATCTCTTCTCAAATCTGGTGATAAATGAGAATGGAGGGATTAGAGGATCGACCGGTTCTGAGCCTGGGGTTTGGGGGAAGGAGCTGGGCAAGGATAAGTTTTGGCCAGAGAAGCCTCCAGGCCTGGAGAGGAAAAGCAGACATATTTCTGGCTGTCAGGTGCTGGGGCTGGGAGAGTCTCGGGGTCTTGCCGGAGTGTGGACACCTCCCCAGGCTGGGTGCAGTCTTATTTCTGAGAGGGATTGAGGGAGGAGGAGGGAGCACGCATGTGGGTTCTGTGGCCAGGAGTGTGAATTTGTGAGTATGAGCGAATGTGTGCGCGCGCGCGTGCGCGCGCGCGCTCATGCATGGGGGCCCCTGTGTCTGGGGGCGTCTAGGGGATGTGGGCATGTATATGAGTGTGGGTTTGAGGTCTAGCTCAGACCCCAGAACGGCCCCATCTCATGCTCCTCTTCTCACCACCAACATTTCATTAAACTCATGGGTCTGGGATTCGAGGCCCTTTAGCAACGCTTTTATTAGCACAACGGCCCAGCTGCATTTCCTACCTCTGCTGGCTCCCGGTCCTCTCCTTGTCAGTTAATAACCGCTCAGGTTCCCTTCTTTGTGCCAGGCTCAGGTGTAAGCCTTTTGCATGCGTAAACTCATTTATCTCTCACAATCCTATGAAAGCAGTACTAATTGTGCCCATTTGACGGCTGAGGAAAGTGAGGCACAGCTAGGGAAGTGGAGGACCCAAGACAACTGGGTCACTATCCTCTGTTGCTTCAACTTTTACTCATTCTCTAGGCACTTCTTCCTCCAGGGACGCTTCCTAGATCAGGTGCTCACAGATTTCATCGATTTCCTGTTCCTGTCACCGCATCCAGGATTAGGAACTGCTTATAGGAAACAGAGGCTGGTAGGGCACAGGCTGCTACCAGGAGGCATTCAGTCTTCCTTAGAGATGGTCACCACACAGAGCCCTGATGAGCCCGGTTGGGGAGCTCACCCAGCACATTCTGAAGCCTCCTCATAACCCCAACTCTTTACACTCTTCCTTAGTTCCCACTTCACTCCCTGCACCCCAGGCTTTAACCCCATCCCCTCAGCCACACTTAAAGGAGATGACCTCCTATTAGGTCATCTCCTAGGAGAGAAAGTTTTCATAGAACTAGCCCATTCTTCTCTCCCCAGAGGACCCAGCCCAGCACGGCCTCCCTGCCAATCCCTTCCATGCCTCATTCTGTTCCTGGGACCTGCTCAGGCCTCTGCTGTGTGCCCTGCCCCTGTGGGGCCTCTGGCTGTCAGCTCCAATCTCATCCCTCCTTCCTCCTCCTAAGCAAGACTCTTCAGGTAATACCAGAAACCTAGTTAGACTTCCTTGCTGCTGGTCACGGGATTCCATTCCGGCTGGAAGGGGAAGGTGGCTCATTGGTTAATTCTCTCCCTAGAGCATGAACCTTCCCTACTCCCCTCCCAGTCCCAGGGACTAACTAATCCCCACCCAATGACTTAAGCTCCCAAGTAAAGCAGTCACTGGCAGAGACCTGCACAGAGGGCCAGCCCAGCTTCCCCTCTCCTAGGCTCAGAGTGGTTTATGCATTAGTCTTTGGGATGCAAGTCTCCTCTGTCTGAGCAGGGCAGAGGCTGGCTCCACAGGGCCTGGTGGGTTTTAATGCATACAAAGCATCTCCAGGTTCTTTTCCTCATTCACGCTATAGCATTGCCACAGGTGAAGAAGCCGAGGCAGTCTAGAAAGCCTCTGGACCTTGTCTGCCCCACATCAGAAGTCCAGAAATAACTCCAGCACTTCCTGTCATCAGGCCTCCAGCCTACCTGGTGGACAACGGCATCCCCTGGGGTCCTGCCTCAGTTTCTCTGCCCCAAATTCTGGCCTGGTTGTGCTCTAACTCCCTGCTCTTGCCTAGTTTCTTCAGTTTCTTCTCTTGCTCCCCACCACACCAGGGGCTGGGCCTGCCCCTAGACCCTCAGTGATTGGCAGGGGTCCATACAATTCACCACACTGGCTCCTTGGTCTGGCTTTATCTTTTTCTCAGTTCAAACAGCTCTTTTATGGAAAGGAATATTAAGCAGCTTTATTTTTAAAAGCTTTCTTTAAAGATGCCTTTCAAATTTTGGATTCAAATTCCTTAAGGAAAAGTTTGATTTTTTTTTTTTAAAGAAAAATGTAAGTGTGCATCACAAAAGCACGATTTATAATAACTCTCATTAATGCAGTTTACTCTGTGCCAAGTAGAGTTCTAAGCATTTTGCACATTATATATTCATTTAATCCTTGCAACAACCCTGTGAGGTAGTTACTACTGTCTCCATTTTAAGATGAGGAAACTGAGGCACAGCAAAGTAAACAGACTTGCCCAGGGTCACAGAGACAAAAAGCAATGGTGCCAACGTCCAAATCCAGGGGTCTGGCTTCAGAGTCTGTGCTCTTAACTGCTGGTGTGCTCAGAAGAGCCTTCACACATTTAGGAAAGAGCCCCTTCTAAAAATTCACTATCTTGTGCTCTTAGAGATTTAAGTTGTCTCCTTGTTAGAGATCTCCCATGATTAAAGTCGTTAAACTTAAAAATAAAACTGTCAGTTATTTTACCAGGAAAGATGGATTTATTTGAGGGTAGCAAAGCATTGCAATTCAGAATAAACAAGCTTCAGCAAACCATAGGCAAGCCCAGAGAACAAAGGAGAAGAATGCTCTTTTATAGAGGAAAGGGGGAATTGGGAAGAGGTGTTATAAACAAAAAGTCCATTGGAGTAACCCGGGAGTTTGAAGTGTAGCGGCGGTCACTGGCTGAGTTGTGACAGCCTCTCATTGGCTGGGCTGTTGCCCCGCAAGGAGAAAACCTTTCTTCTTGCTGCTCCGGCAGCGAAGTATCCGCTTCTTCCTGTTGGGAATGCAAGGTAGTCTCTTCCGGTTGGTTATGCAATTGACTGGGAGTGATAGTGGGTGAGAGCTCCCCCTTCTGGCCTCCCAGCTGCTTCTAAATGAGGTTTCCTTTTATTAATTTTCAATTATTCGCATTTAGCTATATAACTCTTTGCTAGAACGACATCCCTTAATAAGCGGAATTTGTTAAAACTGGTTCAGGATTGTTTCTGTTTAAATGGCAAATGTCAAGGTGACAAGAATTATTAAGAATTATTAATACCTTGGGGGTCCTGGGTGGCTGAGTTGGTGAGAGGCCGACTCTTGATTTTGGCTCAGGTCATGATTTCAGGGTCCTGGAATCCAGCACCGAGTTGGGCTCTGCACTCAGCATGGGGTCCACTTCAGATTCTCTCCCCTTCACCCTCCCGCTCACTCTTTCTCAAATGAATAAATAATATCTTTAACAAAACAAACAAAAAATACCTTGGGTCACTCTCTCAGTGAAAAGTATACTTTGTGAGGTTTAAAATATATAAACCTTGTTGGGGAGAAGTACAGGGGGACATTAGATTTCTCTGAAATGTTTCAATTTATAAAAGTAGAACATAATTTTTATTTGTATAAATAAAAACCAATAAAAAATATGCCTTTATTTAATCAATCAAAAAATGCCTTCTGTGGTAGGCAGCCTCTACCTCCTGGTAATTAGTCTTATATAATACCCTCCCTTTGAGTAACTCGCTTTTTTATTTTTTCTACATTTATTTATTTATTTGAGAGAGAAGGTGCATGCAAGCGAGCGAGTGGGGGGGAGGGGCAGAGGAAGAGAATCTCAAGCAGATTCCCTGAGCGTGGACCCCACGTGGGTTCAATCCCATGACCCATGAGATCATGACTTGTGCTGAAATCACAAGTTGGATGCTTAACCAACTAGGCCACCCAGGTGCCCCTTGAGTAACTTGCTTTTAACCAATAGAATATGACAACATCGAGGGGTTATCCCTTCCATGAGTAGGTTGCAGAAACTAATGACCTCTGTCTTGCTAGTACTCTATCACTTTCTTGGCTTGCATACTTTGATGAAGTGAGTTGCCATGTTGGAAGAACCCACATGGCAAGGAACTGAAAATGACCTGCCTCGAGGAACTGAATGCTCCCAACAAATAAGACCACAGAGCCTAGACTGACATCTTGATTGCAGCCTTGTGAGAGATTCCTGACCTACAGGAATCATGAGATAACAAATGTGTATTATTTTAAGTCCCTAAGTTTTAAGGTAATTTCTTATGCAGCAATAGATACCTTTCTTTATACAGTGAATTTTTGAGAAACTAATCATTAAGTCATCATACAAACCCATGTAAAAGAAAAGGTCTAGTCTAGATTGGCACAGTAAATATCTGAAGTCATAGACATGCACTATAACTACATCTGTCAGAACAATGTGAGGAGCCTAACTCAAGTCTTTTGCCGTCAGGGCACCCTTCAGGGAAGTGGTGGTTCTAGGGCAGGGTTGAGTAGGAGTGTGAGGGGGGGGAGGGAGAGAGCATATGTATCCCTCACCATCAATGCCTACTGCCCCCCCACCAACCTTCAGGCCCAAAGGTGCCTTAGGACAAGGGCAATCCCACACAGGGCTCTCAGGCTGAGGCCAAGTCCCCCCTGTCAGACCAAGAGGCCCCTGAGGAGAAACTTCTTGTCACCCCCATCAGCCACAGAAAGCTGAATTACTCCTCCCCAGTGACTTTCCTCCTGTCTGTCTTTCCTCCCGTCTGCCCCCTTGCTCCCAGCCCAGAACTCTGCTCAAAAGGGCAGCTCACATGGTGTGGAAAAGAGGCCACCAGACAATGGGTAGAATAGAAACACAAACCCAAGAAATGCATTCCTCTGCCCCAGTTTATTCATCCTGGCTTGGCCCAGAGGTCAGGTTCATACTCAACACGCAAGGGCTAGACACAAAACTCCCCAGGACCATTGCTTCAACCTAACTAATATGCCCTTCACCCACTGTCAGGGATAGAACTCTTTAGAGAGAGGAAGAGCACCCCCATTTTGCAGATAGGGAGACTCAGCATCATGCCACTGCTCACCATCAGGATCTTGCATCCTCATGGCTCCCAAAAGCAAAGCAGAGAGCTTGGCTACCTTAGTCCCTAGTTCTCCCCAGAATTCACCCACTCTCCATTTCACGGAGCCTCTGCTGGAGCCAGTCAACCCCCACCGAAAGGACCATGCAGTGAAGGAAGGGGTTATGACCCAGCGTCCTAAGAGCTTCCAGAGGCTGGGCTGACATTGGCCTCTGCCCACCTGGAAAGCCGACTATGGCTCCTCTGGGCCTAGACAGCCTGATTTCAGGAAAACGGACCAACCTAATTTAACATCCAGTGTTGCTAAAGCCCGAGAGGGACAGCAAGTAGAGGCACAGAGAAGAAAGTGAGATTATTTTTCCCCAGCAGTCTTGGAGCACCTTGTCTGTTCCTTGCAAGCGTATAAGCGTACATCCGCTTTCATCAGAAGCTTAAATCAATATGGTCTGCAACCGCTCCTTTGCCGTCGAGAAGTGTGGTTTGTTTCCAAGTGACGTTTTAGAATTCCCTTTCTCCTATTCTTCACAGGGTTCTGCCACCGTCATCTCCCCCATCCCCATCTCCCATGTGCCCCAAGGCAGAGTTCAAGTGGGACTTTATCTTCTTCTCTGATCCCATCCCGCCCCATCCCTGCCACAGTGTTGATCACCAACCCCAGCTCCCCTCCCTCCTACTAATTCTCTACCAGTCGCCCTGGCAAAATTGTAGCCAAAAAGCCATGGCAGGCCAGAGCTGCCACCACACTTCCCACAGCAAATCCACCATCAGGGACAACAGCCTTAGCAGAGCAAAGTCTGAGAGGAGTGATGGGGAGAGGGTGGACAGGTGGCCTGGGAAATCTCAGGGGAATGGATCAGCCACAACCCTCCGATAAATCCTGCAGGCTAGCCCTCTCTCCGGAGCAATGGGACCCTGTGGAGAGAAGAAGGCTAGGGTTGGAATGGGTAACACAGGGTGTGGATGCTCCATATAAGCAACTGAATGTGTATTTGCATATACCTCCTTGTGAGTCGGCCTGCCAACACACACACTCCTACAACACACTTCCCATGCCTGCACCTGCACACAAAGGCCTGCACACACAAAGACACATTCGTATACACCCACCACAAGCCTACACACTCACTCAAACTCACGCATATGCACACACACCTTTTACATATATATCCTCACTCACGCACATATATGCACATTGTTGGATACCTGTTCATGCATACACATACAAACTTACTCCCTCTCACATACATGCCATACACACACTTCTGTGCACACACATAGGCCTGCACCTAAGTTAGCTTGTGTGTACATACAGGTCCATGCCCGGACCCATGTGCCTACATGTTAGCACGTACATACTCAGTTTGCTTACCTGCACTCATACCAGCAAATAATCACGTACTTACTTGTGCACAACCACACACATGCCTGCAAATATGGACATATACCCCTGCACTCCTGTGGAGGCACACCCTTAGCCCTGCTCCTGGGGCCCGGATGGGGCTGCCCTCTGTTGGAGACAGCGGATAAGCTCCTTTCGGTTGTCCAGGATGGTGTCGAAGCTCTCCTGCAGACGGGTCTGCTGGTCTACCAGCTGGTGCTGCAGGCCCCGGATCCACTGCAGCAGGGCCAGGCGGCGGTACATCACCAAGTGCACGTGGTGCTTCTCCTTTTCCTGCTCTTTGTAGCGCTCCTGAGCCTGCAGCTGTTGCACAGCCTGGGCCACCGAGGGCAGAAGGGCATCTGGAGGGCCCGGGCCTCGAGGGGTCCCACAGGCAGGCTCAGGACTGCTGCTGCGGCTGTCGGTGCTCAGGGAGCTGCTGGCGTAGCCATTGTCCTCCAGGGGGGAGCACACTGGGCTGGCACCACTCAACTTCTCAAGCTCAGCTCCGGGGATTTCTGCCCCCTCTGGTGGGCTGCGCACCTCCCCCTCGGGGAGTCCAGGGGCCTGGAAGACCTGGTTGTCAGAGGGCAACTCAGAGGAGCTCCTCATCAGGATGGGCTCCACGTGGCCTGGCATCCCATGCCAATTCTCATTGGCATCTTTGGCACTCACCATGAAGTTAGAGTTGCTGTCTGTTTGGAGCTCCGGCTGACATACTCCCGGCGGACCCCCCAGGAACTGGCCCCCCTCAGCCACCCCTGGCTGGATGGCAAACATTTGGTCTGTAAAGGGGAAGCAGAAGAATGAGTTAGAGCAGGACAGGGGTTGGGAGGTGGGCTGGGTGGTGTCCGAAGTCGTGGCACCCTGGCTGCTGGGGCAAGGCGGTCTCGGTCCCTTTCCCTCTGGCAACACCTCCCTTTGTGGTTCTCCTCCTCTTTCTCTGTTGGCTCAGACTCCTGCATAGGGTTTTCTCAGCCCTCTGAGACAGCTTGTCTTCTCGTTCTATGCCTGTCTCCCCGGAGGACCTCCTCTTCTGCTGTAGCTTTAAGAACCTTCAAGTGTTGGTGACTCTCAGATGTGTCTCCAGCCCAGATCCAAATGCTGTCCAACTCTGTAACCAACCATAGGCTCCTCAAAATCTACATGCCCAAGCCAGCTCTCCTGCTCCAGTGTCCTCAGCAAAATGGCCCACTCTCCATTCAGTCACTCCAGCCAGAAACCTACGAGCAGCCCGGACTCCTCACTCAGCTTCCTCCCCCACCTCACTGGCCACCAAACGCTGACAATTCTTCCTCGTAAAAACTTGTGTGTATGTGGACAGACGTCAACCCTCACTTTCACTTGGTTCAGGTCATTTCTTACCTGGATTTACCGATGGCCACAGCCTTCTCCCTGGTCTCCCCGCCTCCAGTTAAAGAGCTAAACTTGATTTGTCACAGCTCTGGGTGCCCTCTCTAAACTGCTGAACCTCCACGTGGCCTACAAGGCTGTGCTTCAGCAGGCCCTTGCTCACCCCTCCAGACTGGCCTCTTCCACTCCAAACTGCTCAGAAATCTCCCAATATGCCATCATTCACTCCACACAATTCCCCTGGCTTGGGGTGCCTGGGGGGCTCGGTCGATGGAGCCCCGCATCGGGCTCCCTGCTCGGCAGGAAGCCTGCTTCTACCTCCCCCACTCCCCCTGCTTGTGTTCCTGCTCTTGCTATTTCTCTGTCAAATAAATAAATAAAATATTAAAAACAACAACAACAATTCCCCTGCCCTCTAAGCTCCTCCCTTCTCCACCAGCAAATTCCTTTCCAAACATCAAAACCCAGCTCTCATATCGCCCTCTCTGAAGCCTTCCTGATACCCTCCCCCAGCACAGAACTAAGCACCGTTAACTATGCACTTCCCCTGGGTCCCCACTGCACCGGTACACGCTGCTTTGTCTGTATTTGTTCCTTGGCCCTGGAACATAGCTGATGGTCAGTAGATGTCTCTATGTAGTCGTTTGCGGGTTTGTTTTGGTTTTGGACTATCTAGTGATAGCAGCTTGTACACGTGGCTCCCTGACTAATCGAGGAGTTCTTCTGCATATCCTCTGTCATACCCCCGGAGCCAGCACGCAGCCTGGTTCTAAGCAGGGGTCAGTACACAGTTGCTGAGGGAGTGATGGGGGAGGGCGACTGCAGTGGGCTACCTATGCTCGGGAAGAGGAAGCCAACAGTAGCAGGAGGCTACTGCAAGCTGCCCAGGGCTGGGAGACCCGGCTTCAGTTCCCCCCTCTGCTCCAGGAAGCGCCCCCTCCCGCCCCGCCCCCCCATTGACAAGCCTCTCTTCTGACCTTGCCCACTTCCCTCTGTGTCTACTATCTTGTGCCCCTCCCCTAGCTTGCTCCATCCTGAGGCCCCAGAGGGAGGGCATATCACAGCATTCTTTCCTCCCCAATAACCACCTCTACCAAAATTAGGGTTTGAATCGACAAGAGGTTTCTACTGACCGCATATTGCTAGGATTAGACAAATAGGGAATCAGTGAGAGTGAGGGATAGTGGAAGTATAGCAAGCACTAAGAGGTTTTTATAGGTGGCAGGGACCCTCCCTACATTCAGTAGTGGGCAAAAGTCCTGGGGGTGTAGGGACGGTCCCTTAGTGACCTACACGCTCCCATCCCTCTAAGCAGTCTTGGAGTTCTTCCCCGGCCCAAACGTTTTCTCTTTTTCCGAAGCTGGGCGGGGCCACAAGGCAAGCTGAGATGCGGTGGCTGTGGTGCTAAGGCTTACGGGGTTCTCAGGGATGGTGAAATGGGAACCCAGACACCCCAGGATCAGGCTTCCCCCCAAGCTCATCTGTAGTCGGCCAGGGTCGGGGGATGGGGCGGCTGGGGGGCGCTCGGTTCAGTAATGGTGGGGGAGGCGGCCTCCCTTCCTGCCTAGCCCTGCAGGAGAGGACCTCGCCAGGAGACAGAGGATAGACACCGTCCTTCCCTAAGCTCCCCATAGGAGGCAGCCGGGCGGAGGCTGCGACACCCCACCCCACCCCACCCCCCGACGCCCCCCCGGCGCTGGGCCCCCAACCCTCCCCTCCGGGCCCGACTCACGGCCTGGACGCGCCCGCCCCGGCGCGGCTGGCTCTGCTCCTGTAGACCCCGTGGCGGGAACTCGTCCCTCGGGGCTGGCGGGGGAGGGGGGGGGTGTCCCTCGGCCTGGCCTGGAGAGGCCCGTGGGCCGGGCGTGGGGTGCGGGGCTCCCGGACGGCGCGGCCAGCCCCAGGCCTGGACTCCGGAGTCGGGCGGCGTCAGCGCGGCGGGGCGGGGCGGCCGGGCCCACGTGGGCCGGTTCGGGGTTCCGCGGAGCTAGCAGCCGGTGCAGCCCGAGCGCCCGAACCGACTCCCCCGCCTCCTGCAGCCTCGACCGAGGCCTGCCGGGTCAGGTTTATCTTCTAACTGCATCCACTGGGTCCCTCGGATCGCTTTGCGTCACTGCAGATACTGTGACATTTTCAAAATGAAAAATCCGATCATGTCACCAGCTCCTGCTTAAAGCCTTTCAAATGGCTTCCTTCTTGCGGAATAAATCCTTAAGGCGGCAGCCACAGGGTTCTGAGCCAGCTTCATCCTCTGCCCTCCATCTCTACAGCCGGGCCTCACGATCCTTTCTGCCATGCGACTTCTGCACACACTCTTCCCTCTACCTAAAATTCTGTTCCCCTTCTCGATTTACTCATATTTCAGTTCTCTTCTCAGATAAACCTTCTCTGACCTCCTAGACCAGATTCATTTCCCCTTTTATGTTATCCCAGGGCACTTTGTTCCTTTTCTTCATTGCATCTATCACAATTTGAAATGATATATTCATTTTGTGCTTATTTCATTAAAGTCACTTAATGAAAGCTATGTTTTAAGAGAAGAAAGAAAATCTGCTCTGGGACAGGACTGGGTCTCCTGTCCTGCACCTAGGCCCAGGCACCCTCCTCCCTGCAGGACAGAGAACCTCTCCAGGTGTCTGTGCAGTGAGCTCTTCTCAGTTTCTACTTACCGAAGCCTGATCCCCCTCACTCCCTTCTTCTTAGGAGGAAATGAGGAGTGTTGGGACTCGGTTTGCAATCAGAGAGAATGGGGTCAGAGTTGGTGCTGACTCTAATGATAAGAAAGCACTGGCTGGTGTTAGGGAAGTTAGGGCTTCTTAAATTAAGTTTTTGCCTAAGGCAGCCCTAGGAAGGAGACTGGGACATATTTAGCCTTCAGGGCACCCACGTGAGAGTCTAGGAGGTCCCTTCCATACTCCCCACTTTACCAAGTAAAGCAAGCAACTGGCTACAACCTTTTTCATGTCCTCCCCCCATTAAAAACAAATCTAACAGGGATTCATCTTTGGATCATAATACATTTAAAATACTCTTGTCTTTCCCTCATCTCTTTCTGCTGCTTTTTTCCCCCCTCTCCATCTTTTGCTATTTTTTTTAGACCTCAGCCCCATTTCTACACCAGGAGCTGAACCCTAGCTAGTCTTCCTTTTTCCCTTACCCACCTCAAGTTCCCCTTGCCTTTAGCCAGGTGACCAAATGAGGTGACCCAGATCCTCACTCCTAAAGCCACTCTGAGCCTGGGTGGTGTAGAGTTGTGCAGATCTTCCTGTGCCACACAGCTGTGTCAGATACTTAGTTGTTCTGTGGGCCCAGAGCTGCTCCTCCCCACCTCTCCTGTGGACTCCATCGCTCCCAGATCTAACCGTGTGGGCCAAAAGGGAGCCTGATGAGTCCAGAGATGGGAACCCCATTCCAGGTGAGTTAGCATCATTCTCTGGGACTTTCTGAAATAAAAGGAAGATGAAGCAGGAAAGACATATGGGTAGGGCTGCAGCAATCACATTCCCTGCCAAGTGGGAGTCCGTTTGTAGTAGGAGAAAATGTTGCTCATGCACAGAAGCAGAAACAAAAGACGGAAGTTCTGGTGATGTTCCAGTCCCTACTTCCTGAGGCCTTTCTGTATCTTCCAATAAGGCCCTTATTTTGCCAAGTCTAACTTGAGTGGAATTTCCTTCACTGGCAATCAGAGAATCCTGATTAATACAAGAGCACAAGGTGGTGACCCAGGAGTCCCTCTCATATACCTCTCAGCCCTCATTAAGGAGTAGCAACTCAGTTTCCCCATGGTAGCCATTATCACTCCAGCTTATACAGTGACCTCCTTTGAAATGCATTGGAATCATCTTAGTGTTCCCTCATTAGAAACATTCCTCCCTAGATGCTGAAACCTCCTGACCTGTAGAGGCTAGAATGGTGGAGACAGGAAGTAAACTCTGGGAGAAAGTCATCAGGTACAATCACATAACGTGCCACACTTACCTCTGCCTCTTCATATGTATTCTGGCTACAGATGACAAAGAATTCTATACTGATTGTTGACTTATAGCCTCTATTGTACTCTGAGGGGCAGCAGACAACCTGGCGTAGCTGAGTCATCAGTCAGTCTTTCCGTTCTATTAAGCTAGTTGTTTTTAATAACATCATCTCTGAGAAGTCAAGTGAATTCCAAGGGCATCAGATTGCAGCCTCTCTTCTCTTAGTCAAGGGTAAAGTTGTGTGGGATACTCTAGCACTGTATAATTAACGCAGCAAGTGCTCAGACTGTGGTCCTGGGCACTCCATAATTTTCAAAAGCCGGGAGCCTTGAGAACAAAAAACCCCAGGAAGGCAGGGGCGTCCACGTCTGCATGATCACAGAAAAGCAGATGTACAGATGTCTGTGATTCAGTCACCAGAAGATTCCACAGTCAGGATGCCAAGGAATCAGTCTTTCCAGGTAGAGAGGTAAAGTGTCCACCTAGCTACATAGATTTCAGGGACTTAATTGGCAGGGACATAGAAATCACCAGAGATGGCCAGTAGCAGCCTGGATAGTCTGGGTAGACATCCTGGCAGGCGGACAGATGTCAGAGCCAAGAGAGGCTAGCAGTGAGTAGCCGGATCCAGGTCCAAAGGGCCTAGAGCGTCAGGCAAGGAGACAAGGGAGATGAGAGGGATTTCTACCCCAGGATATAGGACAGGCAAGAGTTCCTCTCCAGGTGGAGAATTTCTCAGGGTCAGTACTCCCAGGAAGAAAGGGGTGGGGGTAGAATCAAGGTGTTTCAACCTCAAAGACTCTGCCCCTTCCTGTCCCTTCACTCATATCCAGCAGAGTGCTCTCCTTGTGTCACGTACTGTGTTGGGGATTCAGAGCAGAATCGGGACTGATGGGGGCCTTGTGTGAGTCCCTGTTTAGAAAGGGAAATAGAAGAAAGTGAGTCAAAGGAATGAGTACAAAAGAGGGTAAGGAAAGCCTTCACAGGCTTTAAAGGATGAATAGAAGCTCCCCAAGAGAAAGCGGGGGAAGGCCGAGGAGACTATATGGTGTGTATGCTCGGAGTGTGGTCAGGGTGACTGGAGCTTGAGGGGAAATGGAGGTAGGAGATGACCTTAGAGGGAAAAATTGACCCAGTTGTGAAAGGCCTTGACCACCATTCCAAGGAGCCTGAGCCTCATCCTGCGGGCAGCAGGAAAATAACTGAGCAAGCCCCCAAAGCTTTCTCATCAGAACAAAGCACAGGCCTCTAGCCCTGGAGGACAAGCTCTATTGCTACCTGCTTTCTTCTCTTTCCCCAAGCTCATAGCACCTGCCAGCTTCCCCACATGGCTTTGGGAACTTAGGCAAATCAAAGCATTTTAAACTTTTCAGATTAAATAAAGATATTATGCCTTGAACATGGTTAAAGAACATTGTAATTGTGAACATTGTTCCTTGGACTCCCAAGAGCAGGTACAGCCCTGGAGGACCTTTGGTGTCCCAGAGAGTCCTGAAGGCAGAGGAGAAGGAAAATCATTCCCCAGAATTAGCTCATTCTCGGAAAGAAAGCTTACAAAGCTGGTGACCTGGTTGTTTTGTTCATCCATTTCTCTGCTGCTTCTTAAAGGTAAAGCACCACTCTATCAAGAAATTGCTGTGCCAGGGCACCTGGCTCAGTAGGTTAAGCATCTGCCTTCGGCTCAGGTCATGATCCCGGGGTCCTGGGATCGAGCCCCACATCGGGCTCCCTGCTCAGCGGGAGGCCTGCTTCTCCCTCTCCCTCTGCCTCTCTGCCTACTTGTGCTATCTCTCTGTCAAATAAATAAATAAAATCTTTAACAAAAAAAAGAGAAAGAAATTGCTGTGCCATCACTTTAGGTAAGACATGTCCATTCCCTGCCCCCGATATGGCGGTTTTCTCAGCTGTAAAATGGGGGCGGGGGTACATCAAACAGAAGTTTTAAAGTTTTTTTTTTTTTTTTTTGCCTTTGAATTTTTTTTCCCCCCCCCCCAAACAAAATCTATGTAGTATACCCAGATGGACATCTTGTCTCCTCCCTGAACCCTCCACCCTGAATGGCTCCTGAGGAGGCTCCCAGGAAGCTTTTAAAGCTCGGATGGGGCATAATTTCAAATGCTCTGCACCATAAGAACTTAGGGGACGAATCCCTCCACTCACCATCCCTGCCTCCCTTTCTGAAGGGGGCAAGGAGAAACTGAGGGGGTGTTTTGGAACTGCTGGGAGAACGAAAGGTAGTGTAGACTCTTTCTCTTCAGTGCACCCAAGTGGTAAATGGCCTCTTCCAAACCTCTCTTCCACCACGAGACCAGAAAGCCAAATCCAAAGTCCCCGAGGCTGTGGGAAATCCTAGAGCCCACAACAGAGGGAGTGGGCTAGAGAAGCTGATGGGAAGGAGGACTGAGAGAAGGGAGCGCCTGTTCTGCCCCCTTCCTAGCAGCTGCATCTGTGGGCTCCGTAATCCCCATGCCCTCTCCGCCACCGCACCCTCTGGCCGCCCACCTCTCCGCCACCCACCCCATTCATCAGTAGGAGGGCGCGGTATCAGCACAGCCTTTCAGGGTCTGATAGGTCCTTTCTGGGTGCCCCCCACATGTAACCACTTAACCCCCAGCACAAAGGGCCTGGCTGAATGGACTTGGAGCCGGCGGCTCGTGCAGAGGGGGAGGCCTCAATAGGATTTGGGGAGCTGGGTGTATAAACCGCTCTGCTCCAGCAGACCTCAATGGAGGAGCTGGAGTCGGGGCATGTGCCGAGGGGAGGAGCCCGGCAGCTGCATCCCACCCCTGAACAATGATTTATTCATTCTCCAGGCACACACGGAGAAAACAGGCCCGAGGGAACGCGGCCCCACAAATCGCCCTTGGCCTCAGCTGATTCCCATGGCAATCCCTGCAGCTCAGAGCGCCCCCTCCCACTCCTAATATATTGCCTCCAGCCCGCCCTTCCTCTTCCCCTGCCAGCAAATAGAGTGCAAGACGACAGTAAGGGAGGCCTTCAGTAGCCTGCAGGTCAGCAAGGCTTGCTCCTTGAATTGTCTCCACCCAATCTCAACCTCACTCTCCCTGAAATCTTCCTGGTCAGGTTTTTCTCAAACCCATTTCACAGCCAGAGAAACTGATGCAGAAGGAAAAAAAAAAAGGCACATCACTTGACCCATCTCAGGACTGTCCCAGGGGAAAGACTGAAGAAGCAGGGTTTGGGGGTTCAGCCTGGAAATAGCCTACAGATAAACGGCATGCAATAAAGCCTTGCTGGGTGAATTAATGGCTGCTAACAAAAGGTATCCTATTTGTTGTCCACACTCTTTTTCCTAGTCCCCATCCTCCAGCCACATCTGGCTCTGATTCCTGGAACAATCTTAGGGAGAACATTGGGGATTAGGGGAGAGAAGGAAGACAGATAAGTAGAGATGCTAAAACCAGTAGATTAAAAAAAATGTTTGGGTGGGGGCACCTGACTGAAGGTAGAGCATGCAGCTCTTGATCTTGGGGTCATGAGTTTGAGCCCCACGTTGGGGGGTAGATTGTACTTAAAATTTAAAAAACAATCTTTAAAAAAATGTTGGGTGGGTAGGTGGTTTCGAGAAGCTAAACTGTGACAAGAATAAATTTGTTTTTGCCTTCCAGCCTCCACACCTCATATCACCAGAGCCAGATCAAAAAAAAAAAAAATCATCATAATAAATAAAACTAAAAATCAATAATGTTAGCAGAACAAGGAGAACCAGATTGAAGTGACCATCCTCAGACTGGCCCCTGGGCCTCTTGGCCTCAAGCTCATAATTACCCTGTCACACAGAAAACAAATCTGTTGTGGGTGTTAAATGTGGAGAGGTGGGAGATCCTGGGCAAGGAGGTTGCCCAGCTCAGGAGGGGGAAGGGAGTTGTAGTAGGAGGACGGATTGGCCTTTGGTGCTGGGGCAGGAGGGGGGTGGATGGGGTGGTTTGAGACTGACAAAAATTAAAGCCTTGAAAGTTTCAGAAAGTTTTCTTCCATGAGACAGGAGGGTAGACGCATGAAAGGAGGTGATCCTGCCTAATACTGAACGGTAATGGTGGGAAGTCGGAGGGAGAAGTCCCCCAGCCCACTTCGCTGAGCCCAGGAGGGCGGGTTGCTATGCTGCTGCTGCCCTCTGGTGGGCAAAAAAACAGTATCAACACCTCCCATGCTGGAAACTTGCTGGAAACTGCAAAGTCTGTCTCCTTTTCTGTTCTAAAGCCTTGGCCACCATGACTAGCACACCCCAGGAAGCAGACGCTGAGACAGTTTAGCATGTAGGACATTCATTAAGAAGTGCCCCTGGGGGGGGGGGGTGCCTGGGTGGCTCAGTCATTAAGCGTCTGCCTTCGGCTCAGGTCATGATCCCAGGGTCCTGGGATCGAGCCCCGCGTCGGGCTCCCTGCTCGGCAAGAAGCCTGCCTCTCCCTCTCCCACTCCCCCTGCTCATTTTCCCTCTCTCGCTGTGTTTCTCTCTCTGTCAAATAAATAAATAAAATCTTACATCTGTGGAACGGAGGGGACAGGAGCCGAACTGCCATTCAGATCCCTGAGAGTGTCAGCCAGCCCCTCAGGGAGCCCTGGAAGGTTGGATGGCCCTTCAGAATTGTCCCCAAATGAGCTGAGATGGCCAGCCCTTTATACTCCTGTCACTGGATGTGGGCCATGCTGGAAAGGGGCATGACCACAGGCAAGGGGTTCTCTGCTGCAAAGGCAGTCCCCCAAGGGGCTGACCACTGAAAGCTATCTGCAGACAATGCTCCCAGAAACTGGGCCAACCCCTTCTCCCAGGACGGGGCAGCGCATTCCCACCTACCCCACACATGCCCCACAGATACTGATTAAACATGTGTTACGTGAGCGGCCCGGGTTAGATCATGCCTCAGGATCCAAACTCAATGGGGACAGCCTGCAGGTCTGTTATTCAAGCCGCTGATCTTGGGAAATGGTCAAGGGAGCCTTAATGCTCGAACTCACGGATCCATTCATTCAACAAACACTCACTGGGGTTTACTGTGTGCCAGGCCTGGAGGGAGACACTTTACCAATGTTTTTCTTATTTAATCCTCACAACTGTGTGGCTGGTATTAACTTAGATTATTCACATGAGATCAAGTTATCATGTGGCTTTCCCGTGCAATGACACTTATAAAAAAATGACACAATGGGACAAGTGCTATTGCTGCTGTCAGAGGTCCTTTGGGCCACAAAGGGGTGTCGGCTCTGTTCTGTGTGTGTGCATGCATGTATGTAGAGACAGGGCTCTCTCTCTGCTTTTAGCCGGAATATTTCCTCCATCATAGCCAAGAGTCGTGCCTCCATGGCTTCTGGCTTTAATTCCTTTCTACGGAAGCACTGGCTTTAAAAATTCCTGGTTGTGGGACGCCTGGGTGGCTCAGTCGTTAAGCGTCTGCCTTCGGCTCAGGTCATGACCCCAGGGTCCTGGGATCGAGCCCCGCATCGGGCTCCCTGCTCAGCGGGGAGCCTGCTTCTCCCTCTCCCACTCCCTCTGCTTGTGTTCCCTCTCTTGGTGTCTCTCTCTGTCAAATAAAAAAATAAAATCTTCACACACACACAAAAGAAATTTAAAAAACTGTCAAAAAAGATCTTAGTTTTCTCATTTAGATTCCAATCATAAAGAACTTGAAGGAAAAAGAGGCGTGTATGTGTGTTGGGGGGAATCTTGGATGTCATGGAGCAATTTCTGGGTCTGACTGCAGAGAGACATAAAGTACTCTCAATATGCCTCCCCCCCTCCCCCCCACACACACGCCTTTCCTCCTGGGCGCCCAGAACCTAATTTTTCACATTTGGAAAACCCAGATGATTTTTGCCTGGGTCCATCTGGTTTTCCAAATAACCTGTCTTTTTGATAAATAACATAAGTTAAATTAGACAAGACAAACAAAGAAAGGGGTGGGCAGTCAGATTTTTCCTTCCATCAGCCCCTGAGAGAAAGACAGGGGCTGAAAAACGTACACCATGACTCACTCCCAACCCTGCCCTAGCACTTTCCACCCCTTAGACTCGGTGCTGTGATTCCCCACCCTGGAGCTGGGAGTCGCCCCTTCATCCCCACGTGCTCCTTCCCCCCCACAGGCCTAGCCCACCAGCCATCAAGAATACCAGACTGAAAAAAAAAAAGGGGGTGCCTGGGTGGCTCAGTTGGTTGAGCGACTGCCTTCAGCTCAGGCCATGATCCTGGAGTCCCGGGATCAAGTCCCACATCAGGCTCCCCGCTCAGCGGGGAGTCTGCTTCTCCCTCTGACCCTCTTCCCTCTCGTGCTCTCTATTTCTCATTCTCTCTCAAATAAATAGATAAAATCTTTAAAAAAAATCCTATTAAAAAAAAAAAGAATACCAGACTGTGGTGCTTTCTAAAATGAAGGGAAAGAACCCAGGCGTTCAGCCCCAGAGCTTCTTCCGAACACCCCGAAGCTGTAGCTACCTCAAACCCTCTTTTCCCGTTATGTGTCCCACCACAGGGAACAACTAGATCAATACACTGAGAATGAAAACCTTTAAGGTGAGAGAAGAGAGGACAGAAAGGGGTTGGGAAGGACACGGATAGTACACACAGACAATACAACTACTAGGGATAGAGATCTGGCACCGGGGTCTCCAAGGTAAAATCCACAAAGCCGTGCCGATTCCCTGAGCTCGCTGCAAGAGTCCAGGTACCCGGCCAGCGCGCATCCCAACCACTCCCACAGGTCCCAGCACAGAGCCAGCCTATGGGCCATGGGCTGCTGGCTCTGGCAAGGCTTGGCTTCTCCTCCCCACTCAGCCAGACCACGGTGAGCCTGAGCCCCACCCCGTCCTCAGCAGCAGGCTAGTGGGCATCCGTGTGGCCTCTCATGTGTGCTCCATCATTTCAGATTAATTTACGCCTCTAATCCCAACCACAGCCCTGAGCTAAACTCAGTCATTCCACTCGGGCCTTGTTTTCCAGATGAGGAAAGCAGTTCAGAGAATGACTTATTCAAGGTCATGCCGCTTGTAAGTTGCATGAACAAGGACTTAAGGCTTTAGCTACCACCTTCTTTTTTTTTAAAGATTTTATTTATTTATTTGAGAAAGAGAGAGAACGAGAGATAGAAAGCATGAGAGGGAAGAGGGTCAGAGGGAGAAGCAGACTCCCCGCCGAGCAGGAAGCCCGATGTGGGACTCGATCCCGGGACTCCAGGATCATAACCTGAGCCGAAGGCAGTCGCTTAACCAACTGAGCCACCCAGGCGCCCTAGCTACCACCTTCTTTGTGAGCAGTTCAGCTCCAAGCTTCTCCCCATTAGGCTTCAAAGCAGTCCTTGCTCAGGAGGTATTTATTGAATGATTCTACGTGCCAGGTACTGTGCTACCTAGGCTTTTCTTTGTTTTCTTTTTCTTTTTTTTTTTACATTTTTAAAAAGATTTTATTTTTAAGCAATTTCTATTCCTAATGTTGGGCTCAGACTCACAACCCCAAGATCAAGAGTCACACGCTCTACGACTGAGCCACCCAGGTGCCCCTTTCTTTACATTTTTTAACAAAACAGATATGGTCTCTGCTTTTACAAAATTTAGTCTAATGAGGAAGGCAGACCTACACAAACATTAAGATGGCAAATTGTGATAAAAGGGGGCACCTGGGTGGCTGTCGGTTAAGCGCCGGCTTTTGGCTCAGGTCATGATCCCAGAATCCTGGGATCAAGCCCCTCATCAGGCTCCCTGCTCAGCAGGGGTCTGCTTCTCCCTCTCCCTCTGTGCTCTCTCTCTCTCTCAAGTAAATAAATAAAATCTTTTTAAAAAATTGTGATAAAAGATGCAAAAGAAAAGGAAACAAACAGAGGTAAGCTGATTAAGAAAGGGGTGGTAATGGAAGTTCAATCTAAGCTAACATCTGGAGAATTATACACTAGCCAGACAAAACAGGAGGGTGAAGAGGAGGCATGCCAGGAAAAGGGAAGAACACTTTGGAAGGCCCTGAGGTTAAGTGTAATGTGGAAGGAGAGTGGACAGGAGGTTGGGAGGCAGAGCTATATAATGGAGGACCTTGTAGGCCATGAGGAGTTTGAAGCTCATTCTGAGTGCAACGGAAACAATAAAAGGTTTTATTTTTTACTTTTAGAAGGGGCGGGGGAAGGAAAGGGAGAGAGAGAAGCAGGCTCCCTACTGAGTAGTGAGCAGACTTGGGACTCGATCCCAGGACCCTGGGACCATGACCTGAGCTTAAGGCAGACACTTAACGACTGAGCCATCCAGGTGCCCAAGACACTGAAAAGTGTTATATGAGGGAGTGGCATCCTCCAATTTATGTTTATACAAAGGTCACCCTCTGGCTGCTGTGCATAGATTAGATGGAAAGCAAGCAAAAATATTTTGGGAGAGGAGAGATCAGGAGGCTGCCACAGTTCGCTGGCAGGAAATTATGGAAGCTTGGATTAGGGCACTGGCTATGGAGCTGCGAGACGGCAGAGTCAAGATGCAATGTGGAAGTTGAAATAACAGGTCTCAGAGAGTGTTTGATTACGGAAGGAAGGAGGTGTCAAGGATGCCCTTACAGAGGCACCTGGCTGGCTCAGTCGGTGTAGCGGGTGACTCTCGATCTCGGGGTTGTGAGTTCAAGCCCCACATTGGGCTTAAAATATAAAAGAAATACTTAAAAAATAAAAGAAAATAAAAAGAAAAATATCTTTAAAAAGAGAGAATGGTCGTATAAATTAAGTCGTGGAGATGTAATATACAGCATGGTGACTGTAGTTAATAATATGGTATCACATACTACAAAGTTGACAGAGTAGATCATAAAAGTTCTTGTCACAAGAAAAAAAATGTGTAAGTAACCATGTGTGAGATGTTAATTAACTAGACTTACTGAGGTGATCATTTCACAATATATACAAATATCAAATCATTATAATGTACACCTTAAACTAATATATTTTTTGTTACAATTACAACAAAAAAGAAAATCCTTTTGACTCAGATTTGAAGGATGATAAAATGAAATAAAATCTTCATAACTTAAAAAAAAAAAATACGCCCTTCAGGTTTCCCGCCTGAATGACTGGGTATATGAGGTACTTTTACTGAAATGAGAAACACTGGAGGAAGAGGTTTTTAGAAGGAAGATCATATTATTTTTTTAAGAGTAAGCTCTGGGCCCAACATGAGGCTTGAATTCACAACCCCAAGATCAAGAGTCGCTCGCTCCACTGACTGCACCAGCCAGGCTCCCTGGGGAATATCACATTTTTAAGATGCTTTTTAAGATCACACATTTGAGATGCTTATGAGACAATGGGCCTTTTAAGTTGTCCACAAAACGTGATACAGTTGTGACAGGAGTGATTTCTCAGGCTTGCTGTGTAGCACTTGACATAATGCATTCACGTTCGTTTTCCAACGTTAAGCCTCACAACTCTGAGACAGGCATGAATGACGATCCTCATTTTATAGCTCTCGATGGGGGCTCTGAAAGGTGTGGTATTATTCATTCAACCTTTACTAGGCAACACTACATTCCAGGCTGCATGTCATGGAGTGAGGAGAGGGGTGTTTGCCTGGCTCAGTCCGTAGAGCGAGCAACTCCTGATCTCGGGGTTGTGAGTTCAAGCCCCCACGGTGGGTGTAGAGATTACTTAAAAATAAAATCCTTATGAATAAAAGAAAAAAAGATAAGAATACAAGGTAGAAGATAGAACACCATCTCAAGTATATGATCAGATATCATGACACTCCTCCCTATTGTTTAGGTGAACAAGACAGGAAGCCCCATGAGTCATTAAACAAGTAGAGGACATAAAGACCAAAAACGTCCAGTCCGCACCATTAGAAATTCTCGAAGGGCACAGTTTGTGGAGAAGCAGTTGAGATGAGGGATTGCAAGGGAGTTGAGCAGCTTGTCCCCATGGCGCTTTAGTGAACAGAACCTGGCACTTTATGCAAGAGGCCCTAGAACAGTCTATAGTCTGTACAACTGTGGACTGAATTAATGAGATCAGAGACCTGTTCGCATGAAGTAAAACCATGTGTCCCTACCCCACGGTGTGGAACCAGGTGACAGGGCTGACACTGAGCATATCTCTCTCACAGATGCATGGGCTCTTACCCCCCCAGGGAGGAGTTCCAAGCCAGCGGAGCAGAGTCCCAGCAGGAGCTGTAGCCGCAGGCCCTGGGGCCTGTTTCATTAAAAGAGCGCTGAAGCTGATGGCTCAATGTTTGGGGCACAGGTATCTGGGTCAGGAGGCAACTCTCCACTGCAATCCCGTTAGCCAGGTCGAGGCTTAGCTTGCCCTGTGACAGCTATACCCACATGGGGAAAAAGTGACCCAGAGCTGAAGACCCAACTTCACTTTCTCCAGAGTGCTTTCTTTCCAGAGCCTGGGAAAGAAACCATTGGCTCCCTGGATACCTTTCATACTGCTTTTCTTATCCTCGGTGGTCAATGCCAACCCTCTTCTTCTGTCCCCCAAAAAGAATCTGGGAAAGCAAGAGGAGAGAAATATCTCGCCCTCCTTCCCAGCTCTCTTCTGCATGGGAAAGCCTGCCTGTCTAGGGCCCTGTTTAGAGGGCTCAGAAGGAGGGGCATTAGCCCTCACCAAGGACCCAAGGCTGCAAATCAAAGAGCTATAACCACAGGCACCATTTATGTAAACTCTCTTCACCTGCACTGAACCCAAACCACATGGAGAGTTAATGTGATTCACCAGAGTGGAGAGGTCAGGGAGGGACAACTGTAACAGCCTTTTTCTCTTGACTCAGGGGGGCTTCCTTAGGAGACAGGTTGCCTGAAAATATTAGACAGGCACTGACCTAAGAACGAGGACCCAATCTGGATGGCAAACCCTGCCTTCAGGCACTGAGATTTATTGAAACACTACATACATATTAAAACATCTTTATATACATTTTCCCCATTACAAGATTACAAATATACAAATTCAAAGTCAGCATCTTGTGTATTAGAAACAACTGTAGAAAACCTACACCCTAACTCCAGCAATTAAATTGGTGTTCCCTATCTGCCCATCACAAACTGGCTGCCCTCTCTGACCTGAACCCCAGTGCACCCCGAAACTGTCAAGTCCAGTTCCTGACAGTGAAACCACAGTATTCACATGGTATGTTTTTCCAAAGCAGCAGTGACACTCAGTTCTGGGGGGTGGAGGGGAGGATCTGTCTAGAATTCTGAGAGCCTCATGATTGTTCAGGGAAAATTGGGAGTGGGGGGCAATTCTCGTCAACAATATTTTGATTATAAACTCGATAGTGGTCTTCTCTCTAAATAAGCAATGAACTGTTGTCCTCTGGTCAGGGCAATGTAATAAACCCAGTTGAATGCAATAAATAATGGTTATATGTCTTTTTGTCAGGATGAGAAGGGAGGTCCTTGAGCAACTTTGTTTCACATTGAGAATTTAGTCCCAGGAGAGAGCTCTCTCTGTCCCATGGGATATAGAATATGGGAGACACTGGGTGTGTAGAACCCTTAATCTTCATCCTTGTAGTCCAGAAAATTAGGGCAAACGTCTTTCTGACTTGGGTACTGATTTGAGTCCTTACTATAAGTGAAGCAAATGTTAATCGGCAAGTTGAGGCTGCCTCGGGAAGAGGAATACAGGAAAACGGAAGGGGCAAGACAAATGTAACGGCCCATCTGTTGGTTCCAAGGTCCTCCGAGAAGGCTCTCTTTCACTGACTCCAGGTCATTGTGGGGCACATGTTAGGGTGTGAAGGATTCCTACTGGTACCGACATCGGCATTCCGTTTTCTGGAATTTTCCGTAATGCCACACTTTTTCATCCTCCTCCAACCAGCCCTTTCACAAAGAGCTATCAACCCAGGAGGCTGCTAGGATAAAGTGTCAAATGTATAATGGAGGAAGTGAGCCTTCACCCAAGCATCCATGAATTAATGTAAACACTGCAGAATTAAGATTAGTGGCCAACCCAGGAAATAATACTAGGAAAGGAAAAAGACATCCAGACCGATGCAGTGGAAAGAACTGGAATCTCTGTCCGTAATCTTAATGCACTGATTATAAAGGGTGGGGGGGGAGAGGAGAGGTCATCCACGTGGGCATCAATTCCAATCTTCAACGCCAGAAACTTCTCAAAGCAGTCTCAACATAGGTGCCAGCACCCTTGATATTAGCTTTCCAAGTATCTGAAGATGCTTTGCTTCAATCCTGAAGTGCTATCATCTGTTTTGAGGCGCTTAGGTGAAGGGGATGCCATTAAAGATGGAGCCCTTCTCCTTACCTAGAGAGCGGAGAAAGAGTCAGGACCAGCTCAGGACCCTCATACAAGTACTTACCTTCAATTAGCTCTTAAGGAACACATAGTTAAATCATGGATATTTAGGAAAAAGAGAAATATAAACTTTCCAGGAAAGTTTCAAAGCTGATTACCTACTGGAGGTAGCAGTCCTCTTGTACTTCATTGGGGAGTGTAAGATTAACACCCCAGCATAAGCCTTTAAGCCAGAAATATCTATGTTTTTTATTTAAAAATCAATCAATCAATCTTGCCCTGGAGAGCCACCAAATCAGTTCTCAAATTCCCTACCTGAGGCTTAGATGATTCTTTCGCTGCCTCAGCCTTAACAGGAGAAAGTGTATGGAAGACAAAGTTTCTTAAATTTCGGGGTGCACTGGGATTCAGGTCAGAGAGGGCAGCCAGTTTCTGAAGCACAGCTTTGGGCTGGTTTAGCAGTGAGCCTGTCTTCAGCTGAAGAGAGAAGAGTCGGTTGGCATCAGATCCCAAGTGCCAAGGGAAGAATGAGAAGTCAGTCCCGCCCTGCCTCCCCAGGCCTTGAGGGGACATATTCCTACCCCACTCAAGTAGAAAAGAAAGAGCAGAATCTTTTGACATCTACTTTCATTTCCTGCAGCCACCTCCCTCCGCTAATGACAGAGTACTCCCTTAGCCTGACCTGGGCCTATAGAACCTTGCAGATCATGACATCAGCCTAACCAAGTCCCCGACCAACCTGGTGTGCACTTTCCGGCCTGATGGCTTCAAAAGGATTTCTGAGTAAAGACTTTGGTTCTTGAACAACCACAGCAGTATTGGCTGAAAAGACAAGACAGAGAGGCTTGTTCTGGGCAAAGCTGGGTAGAATTACCTTTAAATCTAAACAAGCTAAGAAGCCTGTAACTAAACGAATAAACTAAAGCTTAAGAACTCGAATTATTTTATAATGGTGACTTGAAACTATAGTAAGAAGTGGCAGGAAGACAGACAACCAACTTGAACGTTGACAAATAGTTAACAGTAATAAGCAAAACAAGCATGGTAAGAGTGCAGAATAGTGTTTTAGGAGCCTCATTCTGGAATTAGATATATCTGGGTTCAAAGTCTAGCTCTGACACAATCCTGGGCAACTAAATAAAGAAGCCAGAATTCCTACTCTGAGCTGCCTTAGAAGATAAAGTCAAACCAGCTACCTTATACTCACAAATACAATGTCCACTACCCAATAGTCTAAGATCCAAAAACACTGTCCTTTCCCACCTCGGAGGGCCCTCTTTAAGACAATGTTAGACACAGGACCATGCCTAAGCTGCAACAGTCCCTAAGGCTGCAGTCGCTTCCAAGGCTCCAGCACGACCAGTCCAGGGGGCTGGACCCGGACGAAGGCCAAGAGCTCACCATTTTTCTGTAGTGCTTTGGCTGTAACCTTCTTGGCTAGCATCATAAACTGACTGTCTTCCCCAATGTCGTCTTCTTCAGCTGCAATTTTCCCCTGCTGTGCCTGAAAACAAAAATCAGCATTAACGGAAGTCTACCGCGTCCCCAAATAGCATAGCCTGGATTGTGAAGCTAAGGTACCTGGGATATCATTTGCTTTCTTTTTTACAACCTTTGTTGCTATAGACAAAAAAAATGATATTGGACAGACAAACATGAATTGAACTGCTCATGATCTTCTCAAAGCACAAAAGAAAATTCAAGGATTAAAAGGGACAGCAATAAGTTGCCCAAGATTTTGAAACTAGCCTGACCAGTGAGGTGAGTGGGTCCTCTCCTCATAAACTAGGGACAGAACAGAGGACGTTCTTACAGACTTCCTACCTGGTCCCGAAGCCACTGCTCTCGTTCAATTCGCTCCTTCCTCCAACGGGCTTCCGTCTCATCAAGCTGCTCTTCGATCTGATCATCATCAGAGTCTCTGTGGAACAAGTCCATCTGGGAAGCATCATCTAAAGCAAAGAGTCAAGGCTATCAACATTCTGCAGTCTCCTGGGAGAAGGTGCCCGGACAGACACACGGAACTCATTGCTCATCATACACCAACACAGGCATTCCCCACTCACTAACACAAAGTCACGGTTACGGCCAGGTCCTCCTCAACAGCCTGCTGCGGTTTTGATTTCCACTTGCCGTCTTAAACTGGACAAACACGGATGCCGTACCATTTTGTTTCCGAAAGCAATGACCAAGATACCTATGTTTTTCCATCGGAATTTCCTCATTCGGCCAGGACCGTCACTGTGCAGATCCCCATCAGCGAGGTACCTCTCTTGGTATAAACGTAGCTGTCGCTTATCATCATCCAACATCGTTTTCCTGCAGGAAAAGTACAGCATTCAAAACCGGGACCACTCTGGCTGGTCGTAGAAACACCCCATGACGCAGAAGGACCTGTTGGGATACTGACATGTGTATTTTCTTGATTTGATTCTGCAGCTCCTCGTCAGAAGGAAGTGCTTCATCAATTTCGTCCTGTTCATATTCGTCAAGCTCTTCCCCATCATACTCATCTTCACTTCCCACATCACTCCCCGACACCTCTGCCTCATCCTCCAGATATTTCTTCAATCTCCTAGAAAAGAATTGTAAAGATTAGAAATGCAACAATGAATACAAACATACAGACTATGGATGCAGTGAGAAAAGCAGAACATAGAGCCACTTAAATTTTAATAATACATTCTGAAGATACTTAAAGTCTATCATTTAATA